AAAATAAAATAATAAATATATACTGTTTTTTATCTCAACCAATCTTTCATTTGACCACATCAACGTGCTTCTCTTCCGCTGCCTCTAGATAGAAACGGGTAAGTCTGACAGCTACCATATCTGAGAATGAATTGTTTGTTTTTTAATATACAATCATGAAATAAAATCTCGTTGCTAGACATCTCGACAAACATTTGAAAATGGCCTAAAATGTTGAAAATTGTTATAATTATATTTTTTTAATTCGCATTAACTTGATAACGGCTGGACTTAGGAAAAAAGTTTTTATATGCAAAGTTATTGTAAATTATGCGTAGAGTCCAAATAAATTATTATTTTTCAAAAAAATATGCATTTTCATCAACTTGTAAAAATCAACAAAAATTTAAAAAATTATAGATTTCTTTTTAAGGAAGCTACCAGCATACACTTTTCACGAAATTTAAGGGTATTCCATCAATTTTCTTGAAAAAAAAAATTATGAAGATCGAAGGGGGGGTGTTTTGAGATAATCATCGTTTTACGTTTTTTAAATACTAATTTACTAAGTTTTTCTTTCAGTGTATTTTTTTCCGCAAAGATAATTTAACTACCTAAAACTTTTTCTCATATGCCATTTTGATCAGATCAATAATTTTCAAGTTATGATTTTTTGAAAAAAAAATAATCCATTTTTTTATACGCCCTTTTCAAAAGTTACTCCGGAGGAAAAAATCATATTTAAATGAAAAATGCAACCATTAGTAGCAGCGAACACGTGAGCAATGTTTCATTCAAATTAGAAGGGGTCGAGACAAAATTGACATTTTTTTTAACGATTTGAGCTAGAAATGCTCTATAGCAATTTACCACCCTTCAGGATTTTTTTGTTGGCGGATCACACCTTTGCCAAATTGTATTGTATAGTGAACAAGAAATCTCGGTGACGTGATAAAAATTTTGACCGGTTGATTTTCACCGGTGATGGCTTCGACGCATAGGTCTACTTTAAATCAACTGTGCCTCATTTTGACTATCGAAATGGTGTCAGACATAGGTTTTCACCTTTTACAAAAATACTCATATCGAAGAGTTTCAAGTGGTTTTGAGCCGCCTTCACCCGAGTAGCACACTTTCATCACAATAAGTTACAGCAACTTGTTTATGACTGAACTAAGTCGTATATAAGTTTCTACAATTGATTTGTGACAAGCGTGCTACTAGGGCATGAATTTAAGTCAATAATCTTGAATTTGGGGGGGACGACAGATATTTAATTTAAACTTCTAATAGTCTAGCCCATTCTCATATTACATGGTTTCAAATACGTATCCACAGTCCAGAGTTTGAGACCACCATGATGAATTTGAGAATGTGTACAGACGTCGACTGTCAGCATCTACTAGTCGAGCTCATTACAAAAATAATCAAATCACATGGTTTAAAAAGCGTATTCGCTATCCGGACGCCGCTCTTTAATTTGAGTTAGTCATTTTTAATTTCGAAATGGCAACAAATATCTATTTTGAGCTTCTACTAGACGATTTCCATTCCAAAAATACCCAAATTGCATGGTTTCAAACTCGTATTATGTCTAGAAGCCGCCATCTTGAATTCAAGTCCACCATCTTTGATTTGAACCTATAATATGAACTATTATGCCGTTCTACGCATATCTGTCCCATGTTCTAAAAGTAACATCTGAGAAAATCGTGAATAATGTTTCCAATCATTTCTGCTCATTAGAAGAAATATAAGTTAAAATTAGTTAGAGCATTGTTCACATTTCAACAGAATCAATTTGTTTTAGTGAAAAGTACAGACATTACCTTCAATGAAATTAGTCAAGCCTATTTGTATACGAAAACAATCCAGTGGGACTGTTATGCCGAGAAATTTGCTCTGAAGTAGGAAATTATACGCATATCAATCCCACTAAGAGCTTTTACTTTCCGTGTTGCTTTGATGGCCACGATGCGTTTGACGTCTTTACGCTTGTGGTTGTGTTTACATGAGCGTGCTTGAGTTCTCCGCGAAGTTTTGAAAGTGAATAGTTTGCATAGGTTGGCATCATTAACTGAAACCAACAATAAGTGAGTAGACATTGCTGCAATCGTCGTTTGCTACATCTATAAAGCCAATAAGTACGGGCATCTTGAGAATAAACGATGAATGCTCTGTGTAGAACACAATAAGATTGTCGATCGTGGACTTCGATTTCAAGAAAGGCTTTGGAAAAGTTAACATACACAGTAAGGATTTCATTATATTCAACCAACTGCATCTACAGCAGTATATTGAGAACATTCTAACGACTAAATTTACGACAACGGATATTTTGAATCAGTAAACAGGAACCTTATTTTAACTACACAATATGGTAGCAGCTATCAACTAGATGAATGAACACATCATGTAAAAGAAAGTGCCATCATTGTTTACTGCGTTGCTTCGAGTTGGTTTTAGACAATAATACGTACTTTTTTAATCATGCCAATATTGGAAGACGTTTATACATCGTTGCTACATACAATTTAATTTAAAATCATGTTATTTTGTCTTTGGTTCATTTCAAGATCATTGCACTGCTTTTTATCAATTGGTTATTATTACTATAATAATGCACAGTTTGAAATGTGAGCTATAATATGGTATTTTAATATGAATTCCCGTTTCTCTTAATGGTGGGCGTTGGCCAAATTTGGATTTTTCAGATATAATCCTAAATAGGACCTAGATTATTTAATACTCTAGTAACCTCAAGTCCGTGCTCTGGCACAATGTTTCATTGTGATTAATCAACACTCAAAGGGGTAAAATATAAAATTTGGGGTAAATTTGAAAAAAAGGAAACTTGGAGTGTAGTGCGCCCACTGGACGATTCTGAAGCCTGGCCAAGTGAGTGGGGTATGGGTTTATTTGATTAAACGTCATTTCCAATGTATATATTGATACATTCAAACCATTGGCATTTGAGATAAGACAAAGATAGGATGCGGAGGGCCCGCTTAGGAGGAGCGTAACCCATGTTATGGTTTCCATTTATTAAATAGTTCAGATAGGCTAGAAATGACAGGTTTATAGTGAGAGAATGTACCATATTGGGAAAGCATAATTTTCATAGGCTGGTTCAGAGCGTCTGAGCTGTTCGTTTGTAGTTTGACCTTCCTTCAAAACCAATTTGGCTCTAAAACAATTTTAAACTTGTTCTGCATTATTCACATGTTGTAATTATTAAAAAGAGCTCGATATAAGATAGCCACAGAGGACAGACGTTGAGGCTCCAAAATTTCTTTAAAAACTTGTGTAAAGATTCCTATTCGACTTAAGCGCCACTAACGGCGACTTCCCCACTTAAAAAACCCTCTTTGACAACATGATGGCGCGGGCGTTGCAAAACTTACACTAGACACTAAGTGCTGGTAGCGCCAAGTGGCAATTTTCAGCAGATAATTTATCGATACTAGCGCCAAATTGGTCGAAAGTGATAAATGTATAGAGAAAATCAGGAGATGCTAGCGCTACGTAACGGCAACGTTTCCACTTAACTTTACACAAGTTTCTGAGCAAACTTGGACGTCTGGTCTCTGTGAGATAGCTTAATGGAATTAAATAGAAATGCCAAAATCTTACCAAGTAGTCTAGCTGTTCTGATTTCGGTACAGTTTGTTGAGGTCGGGTATAGTTTCTGAGTATGGATGCCCATTTTGAAATAACTCATATAAGCACAGAGTAATAGTTTTATTGCTACGGAACTTTCTTTTGGGATCGTCTTTTTTTCATACAATTCGCATTATTCATACTATATTAATCATGATCAGTCTTAGAAAACGTTATATGTTTAAGCCCCGTTCTAGATTTGTTTGTTATTCATATCTTATGCATTGCAGCTCGCGAGAGGTTACCAAATATGGGTTCTTTTTCTCATCCACAATAGTTTGGGGGGAGGGGGCGATCTGAGAGCTGAATAGAGGCAAATAAAATAGGAAACACAACACCATGACCCAAACGACTAACCAACGCATGCGGCTCACACTTAACTTAACTTAACAAATGGGAACACGGCCAGATTTTCAATAGGAAGAAGGAAAAAAAGCGAGAAAACGTAAGAGAGTAAGCAGTCAGGAAGGATTAGGCCATTTAGAAACAGCCAATTTATACTGGACGGAACTGGTAAGTAGGATAAGAATTGTAAAATGTATGTGCTTGCATGATTTACCTATTTTAGAATTACCTATAAGCCACATGGGAACCTCATTTCCTTCAATTACTACTCCATTGCAGCACACACCTAATAATGATTACTAACATTCATATAGTTTCAGCATTATCGACATTTATAATCAAAAGGTGAGTTGTAAAGTATAATTACCATGCATAGATATAAGTTAATGTACTAGAACCTGGACGGAGCCTACCCAGGGGAGGACCCGGATACGACCACCCATGACAGGTGGTCTAGAGTATCGCACGAGCTGACGAGTGCAACGGGAAGGACAGTAGGTGTATAAACTAGGGGGTTAGTCCCTAGATAAGCCAACTTAGCAGTTGGCACAGCCTATACACTGAACAATAACAATTACAATTAATATGAATTCCCGTTTCTCTTAATATTATTCATCATAAGTTAAACCTTCTATTTCTCGAAATGACTCATTGAGTTTCTTTTGATCATATAAATCCTGTGTCAATCATTCGTGCACTCAAATCGATTCGTTAATAAAATATTCAGATAACAATTCTTTGTGGGACAGTTATGCGTAGAATTTCTACATAAGATAATTAATTAAATGCGGATTATGTTTGCGCGATACTTATCCTCCGCGCAAATTTAGATTTTGAAGTGTTTGGAAAATTTTCCACTTATTTTTCTCTCCATTCAATCCACAGATAGAAAGATCGATTCTATTGTATTTCTAAAAGTAGGAATCAAAATTCTTGCGTTATGGACAACGTATGAGCTAATAATACAAATTTGTAAATGAATCTTTTTTGTTCACGCAAATAAAATCGATGATCAGTTTACAATCCACCCTGCGGAAAAAGTTTATTCATCCATACAGTCATATATCTACATATGGTGGGTCGTGAAATGCACGAGTTTCAAAAACGGTTAAATTGGTGACTGTGGCCCGCCATGCCCGACGGAGATGGGATTATGGAAAATAGACGCCGTATGATGTGGTTCCATTCCGATGGCTTTCACAACCTCACCGTCTTCGTCGCGTCGGTCGTCATCATCAATGATGGAATCGATAAACGAACGCAAATGGAATGAATAAATTAAAGAGAATAAGTTTGAATACAATTCCGGAGCTGATTGATGGCGCTGCTGTGGATTTGGATTTTCCTGTGGAAAAAAGAAGATGAAAAAAGAATGGTCCAGGGTTAGGGATAAACTAAGCATGTTTTTCCGGGTAGGACTTCAGAACCTGGAGTGATAGCATTTTTTTCCTGGTCACCCCAGGACGGTATTGGAGCTGCTGGTGATCCATTTGGGTTAGGTTGTGTAGCCATGGGACCACTCGTTGCTACCGTGCCATTGACTCCGGCTGGGCTGGGTGCGGTGTAAAGATATCCAATTTCACTCACAATCCAATCGTGGTACGGCTCAATCATGGTGTAGTAAGCCGTAGAGCGTTTTATCGAAGTGCAGCTCTGCGGATTCGAGGGTGGATTTATTTCCGCCAAAATGGCCACTAATTTGAAGTTACATATCAGAGCGGTGCCCCGTTCCTCGCTGCGCCTCAGGGAATTTGCATCGAGCTGTGAAAATATGTGGAAATCTGGTTATCGTTTTGCCCTGCTGATATTATTTGTTTCATTGAATTTGAAATTATTCCTGGGCTGCAGGGATTTGTTCGGAACGATGCGGGACTGAAATGTGTAACTTAGTCCGTGTGATCTAATTTACATATGTACACCGTATGGGTGCAGTAGGATGTGCTCAACATGTTGCTTGTTAATTTTGGCATGTTGATTATCTGGTTAAATATGGATGGCTTTACTTTGGACATCACATTAAAGAGTAATTCATGCACGGTTTTATTACGGAGTAGTTTTGTTCAAATGAATACATACACATGTTGTTTTATCCGGGATTAGAGGAATAAGCGATTTCAAAACAAGTCTCAATTAACTTACTGGTAATACCTTGGAGTAGGGCTAATAAGGAGAAGTTATGTAGAAATGAGGTCAATTTACATCAAGGAAATCACGCTACTTCGTCAAGAAGTATAGTAAGTAAATGTTACCAAAAATAAATCAGAATATTTATTGAGCAATTTTCACAGGAAATATAAATGTGCCTGTGTGATAGAAAACACCGATTAGAACTGCTGTAGCTCTTGAACTTTGCAAGGTCTTGGTAGTCCAAGATTGATAAAGACACTGGGATCCCCGTAACGTGGTGCATTACAAGTTCAAATCTACAACAGAACTCTACACGCTAAACAAAGTTATCTTACATTCAATATAAGGTTAGATTTATTATATCCTCTGCTTCAAATGTAATAGCAGTTCGTGCTATGAACTGCACTGTACAAGCAATGCATGTTTTTGTATAAAACCTTCTCGAGATAATTTTCTAGACGCAATGCATTTAGGGAAACAAACTTTGTTCGAAAAATTAGCTTAAATAAAAATTATAACATTATTATAAGAACCTTACGGTGACCACATTACAAAATTTGTTCATGTCAAGTAAAAAATTGCATATTGTGTATACTTTTCATACAAATCTGTGATGGAATCTTACATTTCCCGGTTGGGTGTAGTCATAACTACTTCAAACTAGGGGAGCAGGCTTTTTATTGAGTAATCAAAGGAACACATCTTAGTCTTTGGTACGTTATACGCCTTGTTGATAGTGACAAGACTTTTAGGTTGCCACACAGAGGATGCTCATGGAACAAGGAAATGGGTTGGTCTTCTCTTTGATTCATAATCTTCTATTTGTTGTTCTCTGAAGCGGTTAAGACTAAGGACCTGATGCATGGTTAATATCGGTATCATTTTGATTTTGGAGTTGATTTTGTCACCAAGGTATCCAATTTTGACTGTCATTGCGATACAAACTCTCCAATGGTCTCACTCTTCTAAGATTGATTGATTTCTTTATTATAGAGACTTTCACACTCTTGTCTTCTAAGGGTTTAAATAGCGAGACCATACATTTAGAATCGGTTCCTTGCAATAAAGACAAAAGAAACAACCGCAGGGCTGATAGCAGTGTTAAGCAATAAAAATAGTGAACTAGTGTCTAAAATCAACTAAATAAGTGCCTGAAAAGTGACCAAAATGTGACCTAAACATCGATCGATTTTCTATCTTTACGCATCAGGGATGCCAGATTTGAAGATATGCCTTTGTGAAGATGTTTGAAGACACGTAGAAATTGAAGAAAACTTCTGAAGCCTTTTGAATTTTACGGCTTTTTTGTGTGCTACCTAGTGAGCAACTGCCCAACTAAACTGTTCACTACTGAACGGGTCTTGTCCATTTGCACAACTTTTCTGAAATAGGAAACTTCTATCTGGACACGACCTCAAGTTATCACTAGAAAATTTGTATTTTTAATCTGGCGCGACCTAGTGAATCGATTGTGAACGCCAGATGGGTATTGTCCAACTGAATAACTTTGCCGAAGATTGTATTTTTCTATCTTTTGTAGTTCAAGAGCTATAATAAATTAAAAAAAGATAAGAAATTGTTCACCGTGTGCTCAATACACGACGTGACTGCTCGCGTAACCATTTTTAAATGCGGGTTCCGGAAGGTTAACATTTTTTATCGGCGCCTGCCAAAACCAAAACAATCTGAATTGTAAAATTTAGTTTAAAAAAAAAATCAACGTTCAAACTATGGTTCGAGGTCCAGCGTTGAGTGAATCAGAAAATTGACGTTGGCTCAAATTTACTCATCTATCGAGTAATAATATATGAAATACAATTTAAGATTATTTCTGTTAATCATTGTTAAGCTCAAAACGTAATATTTTGCATTATCTATTGATATAACACTTTCCGAATTTGTTTAAAAGTTACACGTTTGTGAATTGTGTTACATAAAGTAATTAAAGAAGAATACCTCAAAATGTTTATCATATATTTAATTTAACTAAAACAAGCTGCGATTCAAAGTAAAAAAGTACTTTTGCGGATCTTGATACTTACTTGATCATCTAAGGCAAACATACTTTTGAATATAAAAACCAACAAATGATCCATAACAAATTTAAAAACGCTCCTTAAAAAACACCCAAATGAACCATAAAACTCCAGTGAAAATCCCTTAAAATGTGTGAATGATCCATTAAAAATCTCACTAAGATCCATATTTTCAGTCAAATTTAGCAACACAATTGAAAAAATGTACCGCTAAATATTTAAAGAATGAGCATTGAAATTGTAAGAATTACCCATAAACATATTGCAAATGATCCATAAAACATCCAGCAATGAACCTCAAACTAATGAAAGTGATTCATAGAAAATAGTTGGCGCTCTTAAAATATATACTACCAATAATCGCATATCAGTCCCATCTTTGCTTGATTTCCTATCCATATGGGACTGATATGCGATTATGAGCAGTATAGGTATGATCCATAAATTAGACATATACTGTTCATGTTTTGGACACTAACGTTTTGATTTTGTTCCATAAACCTTGAAATGATGTTCCATTGTTTTTTGAGTTAGAAGTGCGAAGCGACGGATAAGCGTCTAGAATTAGCGTCCATAAAAGATTCTATAATAATCTTCTTAGTACTCTGAACACGATGCCTCTGGTCAAATGTGTAATGGCAAACTTGTAATGTTTGAAAAATCATAGCTCAGCTATTTATTGACGAATAACCAATCTATGGGCGTTAAGACTTTAAGATTTATTCGGTATGAATAGGTTTAGAATCTATTGATAAATTGCTGAGTAATGATTTTTCAAACATTACCATTATCGTTCCACATTTTACCGGTTGCATCGTGTTCGGAGTGTTAAGAAGCATCCTACGGAATATTTTTTAGAAGCTTCTCATAACAGTAAACCTGAGTAGCTACACAGTAATGGGGCAATTTTCCAAGGTTAATGGAACAAATTTTAAAAAATAGTGTCAAAAACATGAACAATATATGTCTTATTTATAGATCGTCCCTATATTTTTAAGTGCGCAAGCTTGATTTTCTATGTATCACTTTCATTAGTTTAAGGTTCATTGCTGAATGTTTTATGGATCATTTGCAATATGTTTATGGGTAATTCATGCAAAAATGCTCATTCTTTAGAAATTTAGCGGTACATTTTTAAAATTGTGTAGCTAAATTTTACATAATTTATGGCCACATTGATATTTTTTAAGGATCATTCAAACTTTTTAAGAGATTTCCTGTGGTGTTTTATGGATCATTTGGATGTTTTTTAAGTAATGTTTTTCAATATTTTATTGATCGTTTTATCAATTATAAAGGTGCATACTTAGGGCTGCCATCATCTAAATAGAATTCATTGCATTTGAAATAATACGAAGTTGAAAATTGGAATAAGCTTGTAAATCCGTTGAGCCCACTGTGCACTAACACAACAACACTTTTATACTTACCTTACCTTTCTATTCACCTTACCTTTGTACACCACACCCAACGCCGCAAGAGGAGCGCGAACCATTATAGTATCTCCTGGAACAGACGAACTCAAGAAGGATCAACCGTCACTCCTCATCCATCAACATACTTGGTTCGTGCGGTCCCCGAAAAATGACGATTTTGCGTTCAAAGTTCCTGGTATTCCACAACTACAACAATTTACCAAATGCATTGTCCTGACGGATATGTCGCAGTTTTTCGACTCTTTGGGTCTCACCGGTCTGAATTGGGACGATGGACTTCCGGAGACTCTTCAATCTTGGTGGCTGTCCTTTCGAGAATCGGTCTGTGTCATCCGCGATCTTCGTATACCACGATGGGTATTCAGAGATTATGCAGTAAGGTAAGAGCTGCACTGCTTTGTTGACGCTTCTTCAAAAGGATACGAAGCATTGCTTTTTGTAAGTAGATCCCAAGGGTCGACTGCCACGCGAACAAGCAATCTTCTCATAGTGAAATCCCGGGTCGTTCCAATCAGCGGCTATTCCACGTTACGTTTCGAACTCACCGTACCATATATCCGTAAAACCACGAAGTTTAACGCCAAAATCACCTTCTGGTCGGACTCAACGATCGTTTTGCACTGGATCAACTCCCCGTCGTCATCGTGGAAAATATTCGTATCCAATCGAATAGCAGAGGTCCTCAAAACCACAGAAGGCTCTCAATGGCGTCACGTTCCAACGCTGCAAAACCCTTCCGATCGATTTTCTCGCGGAGTACAACCCGAGGACAACAGCAATGATGCGTTTTGGTGGCATGGGTCACTAGACTGATGCAAAATTTGAAATTTTCGCTCCACAGTACTCACACGGTTTCAAATCAGGTCCTGATTAGCCTCCCAAAATTTAAACTCATTTGGCAAGAAACTGACTTGCCACAAACTATTCGAAATTTAAATGGAAATTACTATGGGAAAACCATACTTTTTGTTCATTGTCTTCTACCCATTTTCCATATTGCTCTTTCGAAAATTTATATAACTACTCTTACAGGAAATTTTCTAAGCTACAACTTTGCCCCATATCTTTTTTCAGCCAAATGTCAAACTAAATTGTTATTAATTGTTTAAGAGATTGATAATCTTATGGCATGATCAAGCAGCTGTTCTGTGGGCAACACTGTATTCTGCAGTGTGACATAGTAGCCATGATATTTGTGCTCTATTCTTCGCACCAAAAACACCAATGTTGCCTGCTGAACAGTTGAATGAGCATAATCATAAGACATCAGTGACATGAATCATTAATATCTTTTGTTCCTTACATTTGATTGAAAAGTGGCAATGAACAAAGTTGTAGCTGAGAAAATTTGCAACAATCACTGTTATCAATTTTAAAAGCATAGTGATGTGGTGAATTGCTAGATAGATATGAACAAAAAGATTAGTTTTCCCATAGTAATTCCCATATAAACTTGAAATGGTTTGTGCCAAGTCAGTTTCTTACTAAATTAGTTCAAATTTTGGGAGGCTAAGCAGGACCCAATTTGAAAACGTTTAAGCACTGTGGAGCGAAAATTTCAAATTTTGCATCAGTCTAATGGGTCACCTAATACCTGCTGTCAGGACCAGAAGCCTGACCAGCTCCAATAGTAGCATTAACCTCGACCGACATCCAACAACAAACTGTCGAGGAGCGGCCGACGGTCACACTCGTTTGTGTTACGTTCGACGATTCGCTCATCCAGGACTTTTCGCAACTGTCTCATCTTCTTGAGGTTGCTTCGTACTGCCTTCGTTTCGCGAAGAATTGCCAATTGCCGAGCCATCCTCGAACTTTCGGGGGAGTACTACAATGCCCTCAAATCTCTCATTCGAGTTGCACAAGGAGCAACCTTCCATCAGGAACTGCGAGTCTCTGAAAACTATGAGAAAAGCAGACTTCAAGTCTCCGCTCAAGGACATTGACGTGATGATCGATGACGCAGGGCTTCTTCGTTTGAACGGGTGCCTAGCGCAACAACTGCAATCGCAATCCGATCCTGTTACCTGCCGATCATCATCTCTCAAGGTTGACTGCCAGATCAATTCATCATCAAACTCTTCACGCCCGGCTAACACAACTGCTAGCGGCCATTGAGCAGCTTTTCTGGCTGATCCCTGGTAGAAACACTTTGCATTTTGTGAGTCGCGTAGGTCGCGTTCGCGTTATACGCTGTGAAAGCTGCATCTCGTTCGTCGGCGTGTTCCGAGAGATAAAGGAGATGCGACAGCAACTCGTCCAGCAGCTGAAGTCTAACGAGTGCCTGAAAAAGGGTATCGAGTTCCAGTTTATTCCCCCGAGAGCACCGCATTGTGGTGGGCTATGGGAAGCAGCGGTAATGAGATTCAAGCACCATCTCGTCAGGATCATCGGCTCATCATCTTACCACTTTGACGATTTTCACACGGCTGTCGCTCAGGCGGAAAGCATCATGATTTCACGACCCTTAACTCCACTTTCCAATCATCTTAAAGACCTCTCCGTGCTCACCCCTGCACATTTCATGCTGGGCGAACCAGCCTTCTGGCTTACCGAGCCAGACTACTCAAGCATTCCCATTAATCGCCTATCCCACTTCCAGACGACCAGCGAGCCACTAACGACTTGTGGAAGCGCTGGTATAAATAATACATCGGCCTGCTGCATTAGCGTCCAGCTAAATTAAGGAAGTTCCCTACCGATTTCGGGGATGGTGCTAAGGTTGTGTTGAAGACCGACAACGCTCCACCCAGTCATTGGCCTCTCGGACGCGTTGTAGCGGTCCACCCAAACAAGGACAACAAAGTACGGGTAGTGGATGCCCGCCCTCAAGTCGGAATTCGTCGTTGTGCAACAACAGAGCTGTGTCTGCTACCGATTGATGACATACCAGGTGACACAGCAGCTGGGTCGACTGATTCAGCTCAGCTGACCGATGAACCTTCTTCATCTTCTGTCGGTTGAATGCTGCGCTTCAATGGGGGCCGAGATGATGCGGAACTTGATACTTACATTACCATCGAAATAGAATTCATTGCATTTGAAATTGTACGAAGTTGAAAATTTAAATTATTTTGTAAATCTGTTGAGCCCACTGTGCTCTATTACAACTAAACTTACCTTACCTTGGTACACGAAGGCTGAAATGAAACACGACATACGCACAAAAATTGGCGCTGACAGCGGCTCAGTAGCTCTTTACGCCTATGAGAAAATCCATAAGCAAACGTCAGACTGTGCGTGAAACATGGCGGACTTTGTACTTCACCGAAAATTCCCATAAGAAACGGTCTAAATTAGCTGGAAGAGCAAATTTTTCGACGGTGCCGTCAACGCCAATACTTACCTAACACAACAGATATGGAGACAGATTAAACGAATACCAGAATCGAAAGGTTCATCAAGCAAACCACTAGCAAGCCAAATTCGACAAGATCCACCACAGTACTCAACCGACATGGTTTCACCGTTGGCTACTTTTAACATATTTTTGGAAGAAAATCATAGCAACACTGAAGCAAATAAACTTGAGAATTTCATAAGGCTCGACACATAATCTCATGGTCCATGGTTCGGTTTCAGTCTGCTCCGTTTTATATTTTTTTTTGTCAACATTATTTTTCATAAGGCAAATCAGTGAAATTCATACTGATTTCTTGTGGCTAAAATTCATAAGTGGACCTTACATCCATTTGCCTCAGTGAAACTGCGCATGGCTTTTTTTGTGCTCCATCGCATCCGTTCGTGCTCCATTAGTCATCGTATTAGTCTTCGTTAGTGTTTGGTACAAAGTGACAAGAAAAGTTTGAATGCTGGTAAATTGTGAGTGCTTTTAGTTCCATTGTTCACAGAAATCTTAATTTGTATCTTCTACTGCAGGTTTGCATCGACCATGAGCATCCTAAAAAGTTGAACTTGGTATAAGCATAGAGGTAACTCTAAGACTAGTAGGTCCCGAAGAAAAGTGCTCAAGTTTTTGACTCAGCTCTGGTACTATCTTCGGTCCCAAGTTAATCGAAACATAGGAAAATCCACGAACCCCTCATTTTATCTGTTAAACTTTCATGGCAAATCAAAACAAACATTGTTTCTTTTCCTTTATTTAACGTCGGTCTCTGTTCCGCAATCTAGTGCCAATCACCGACGGACATCGATTGCCATCTATTGACGGCAATCGAATGTGCAGGAAGGCAGCTTCCACACCTGCGTAGGATATCGCACCCATTCAACACACATGGGCCGGGACCAACGGCTTTACTTCCCTTCCCAAGGAAGACGTGACCAGAGATTTTTATGCCTCTGAAAAATCCCACCGACTTCTTCTGGGATTGAACCCAGACCCATTGGGGTGTTAGAAAGCAGTCACGCTTACCACTACACCACCGACGTCGACTAAAACAAACATTGTGTAGTACTAGAATTTCGATTAGAATGGGGTACGTTAATCGATTTGCTTGGGACCAATAGGCTAGTCAAGTAGTGAGCCAATTTAAAATCGATAGTTTCGTATTGATTGTTGGTATAAGTAAAGTTTACCTATTCCGTTCGTTAGGTAATTTTCACTCAATGAATTTTTGATCAGGATTACTCAAAATTGAGTTTTATTGTTCAACTTAATTTACCCAGCCCCACTGAACCCAAGTGTTGAGTGATAGGAACTCAATTTTCGGTACGGGGAGACATAGGGCCAACATGATTATTGAAGCAAATATCTCGAATATACAGAAAATGATGACAAGAATATGTTCGTTGAACTCTTGCCGTAATATGTATCAGTTTATCAGTATTAATAAGTTTTTTTTATTTAAATAGTACTGTAAAATTAAGTGTCATAAATAGTAGCAAAAACACGTTTTTAAAAATTTTAACAGGCAAACAAAAGTTTGAACACACTTTTATGTGAATAGTAACGGTGAAAAAAATCTTTAGCCATACATATGAAGGACATTTTGATCATATTCAAGTGAATTCCTAATAGCTACGATACATTTACATATTTTTACCAATTTTTTAACACCCAGCATACAGTTTACATTGGTCTATTTTTTATTTAATTTTTGTTAAATTAGATATCAATTTTAACCAACCATTTCCATGTCAGTCATAAATGTATTATTGAAGAATATATTCACATGCTTCAAATGGTTTACCTAACTAAAATGTGAATGTTGTAAAGTAGGCAAATATTTTTTTTTTGATTTTTTGGCCCATTGTTACCCCTACTTACTGTACTTAAATTTTTGACAAGTAAATAATCCAAATTGAGCTTATACTCCTCAAAAATACGTTGTGATTATCGCAAAACAAAGTGTCCAATGTTTGAAGTAACTTTTCGATACACCCCATAGTTAAAGCAAAGGAAAAAAAAAACCATTTGAAAATTTATCTCTCGTGCAAAATGTTGAAATCATCATCATTTTGCCAGTTCTTGTGTTCCCAACACGGATAATAATGTAAGATTGCCAGGTCACCGGGATAAATAGTCTTCAAAGTATGCGTTTTTTGTTTTACATGCATACCTGGAAAAAATTGCATCCACACAAAGTATGAATTGTAGCACTTCAGTTAGAGTAATACATTGTTATCACATAAATTCAACTTACCCAGCATGACTGTGGATTACTGAACCGATACTCGATACAGGTTCCATTCCTACCCACTGCGGTTTGACCTACAGCAATCGATCCTCTCTGAGCGTCACAAACCCATTTTTGGAAAAAGCTAACATTTCTAACCAAAGTGTATGGGTAGTCGGAAACCTGCAAACAAAAATCCAATGCTTTCAATTGTGCCAACAATGTTCGAGTATAATTTACTGTTACGAAAGAATTTTATTACCAGCGAGAATTTTAAATTGAGGCAAAGGAGGAAATTAATTGCTTTCTGTATAGTTGATTCTGAATTTTTTCTGACTTTTTTTTTGCAGAACTTTCCAAACTCCTCTAGCAACCAATAAATTCCACAACGAAATAAAATAATCCTCACGTAACTTTCTCCGCATCCCGGAAGTATCCGGTTTCCCCGCGGGATGACGAGATCGGTGGGAGAACGACAGAGTGTAGGTTAGGGTGGGTCAATTTAATGACCTCCTACTCCCCTCCTACTCTTTTGATCTGTATTGGGGTGCCGAACAACTGTGCCAAATTTAAACGAATTTAGCTACGATCTGGATTTTGGGAGAATTTCATAGTTTGTATGGGAAACGGAAGAAGACTGTTCAGTAGTTTGAAAAACATTCGAAAAATGCTCAATTTTTATCAAACCTGAGCTTTAGATTGATAAAACTATGCAGAACAACTTTGTCGAATATCTGAAAACGATTCGACCTTTACAAAGAGTTGTTACCCTTTTACTATATGTCATGTTACATCGTACCCTATATAGTAGGGGGTGTATGTGTGTGTGTGTGTGTGTGTGTGTGTGTGTGTGTGTGTGTGTGTGTGTGTGTGTGTGTGTGTGTGTGTGTGTGTGTGTGTGTGTGTGTGTGTGTGTTGTGTGTGTGTGTGTATTCAATCTAACCCCCACTGGCCGGCAGTGTTATGGTCATTGTTGACATTTATGGTCATTGTAGACAGCTTTAGTCCGGGAGTTAGAAGGTGATAGCTCTATTGCAGATCCAGCAACCCATTTCAGAATGTCTGGAGAGTCACGCCCATTCCGTGGTTTCTTTCACTTACAATAAGCCCCGCATATTTTTTTTTAATAATTGGAAAGCTCTCACCATATTCTGCTCTTCCGCCGTCGTTGATTACTTCTTTTGGAATCCCTTGGACTTTTTCTCTAACGCTTCGTATTTCATTCCGTGCTTCACCGGCAATTTCCTTCTGTAGATCGTCCTTGGTTGGTTCTAATATGATTCCGCCTTTTTTGGTCGGTTCCATTGAATTGATTTGAATTGCCATGGTGATCTGGGACGAGGCTCACGTCCAAAGTCGCTGTTCCACCGAGCGCTCCGAGTGTTCCAGAAGTGACAGTTTCATCAGATTCCCCAACTAACCATAGTCAAGCAAAGTAAGAATATACAAGCTATATTGCGACTATATGGTTACTTGGGTACTCATATGGGCCGTCAGAATGGTTCATCGGTTGCGAAGTAAAATATTTCTGAAAGTGATTTGATTATATCCTAACGTTACCTCCATGTTATATCACAGACAAGCAGACACAACACATTGAACATTTATCATTGTAAACCCTACCGCCATCTGTCGTACATACTTTGATGGGCAATACACTCAACAGATGGTTGTAGTGTGTAAACGTCAAACGCTAGGGAATTGATTATGTGCACCACAAGTGGCGGTACTACCAACTAAGAAACATTTAAATTGACCGTTAAAAACGATTTCGATGAAGGTTTTAAGAGTGTTATGTCTGCTTGTCTGTAATCATACCTTCACTATCACAACTTCGGGTAATCTGCGAAAGTATTTGCATTTTTCTCAGGCACTTTTGATTTAACTGCAATTACTCTCTTATACTCGAAATGTGCCGCGACCAAATTGGCACAACAACGCCCTATACGCTCTCTGACCGAAGCGCAGGGTCGTACCCTATACAGAGGGTGGCCCAAAATAACACTTTGCCTGGAAACCTGGGGGCTTATCCGTCAAATGTTAGCCAAGGGTAGTAGAGGTAGCCCCGATGAGATTTTTTAAAACTGTCGATTTTTCATAGCCACATCTGAGCAAATATTTTGAACTAATGCATCGAAATTTAGTGCAACCCAACCATTTTGCATATGTTTACATCTTCCTTGGGGTCCCTTCTACATGAGAAAAAAAATTGTTAGCTGGTCGTGCACCTATTTTTCATGACATTTTTTTTAATTTCTCAGAAATATAGATTTTTTGAGCTGCATATATCTAACTATTGCGTGGCTAGAATTGGATTCTGGAAAATATGTGTGGAATGATTTCGGTTCATGTCGGTTTGTCGGTGGTTATCGTGAAGAATGATTCGGAGTCGGCTGCTCTCACATTTACTTTTGGTATCCGAGATAACCTCGATCGAGCGTCCGGTTAGTGCGATTAGTCAGGATTTTGTTCACGCGGGTGTGGTGTGTTCCAGAAAGAATATTTAGATACCGTAAACACGTTTGATCATGGAGTGTTATTCCTTGATTTGTTTTGACTTGGTTTCCGTACTAAGTACCAATGCTACCGACGCCAGGGAGGCGAGCTCCCACACCTGGACCCTACCTATCGACCCATCAATTCATGGACCGGAGACCAACGGCTTTACTTCCCTTCCGAAAATCCCGATAAGATAGTGGAAATGAATATTGTGTCGGCCTAAATACTCCTAATATGGACCCATACATAAATTCAGTAATCGACTAAATTTTCAATAATATTCATTAGTACCGTCCCAATGACGCGTTTATCTAGATAAATAGCAGATTTTTAGCGATGGGTTCAATCTTAGATCCATAGGCCAACATTAGAGCCATTTCCCCTATGATTCATTTTGAGGGAGAAAACAGATGTCATGATAGCGATCGAACATACAGGCTTGGTACTTGACTAGATTTCGTCTTGTTTGGAAAAAAGTTGACAAATCCTAAACCCTTTTTCCTAGCTCCATGTCTGATTGTCGGTCACAGTGATTTGTTTCGATGTAAGAGGCTCAGTTGTCTAGTACAAAAGTTTTTTTTACTGGGCATATGATCACAGGTTCTATCCCAGGCACCTTTATTACCTAGTTGAAAGGGTTGCATCCTTGCATCATTGCTTTGCCATACTTCTAAAAATAGCGTTACTTCTCAAAGTGATTCGAAAATATCTAATTCATACTTTCCGCTAACGAAAAAATCCTTCGTGTGAAAACCATACACTCATTAAATAAATCACATAATCAGTGAAAAATATACATGTGAATTTTTTCAAAATTTTCATATGATCCCATAATTCAAAATTGCTCCAGTAAATCACATGAACCTTATGTGTCCAATGAAAGCTATATGATTACTCACATGGAATGTATGATGTTATGTGATATTCAGATAAAAATAATTAATTTTGTTATTGGAAAAATATCATGTGCGTTCCTAATAGAAGCTATGTGAAAACTTTTTTCAGTGTAGAGACGTAGAGGTATACAGTAATGACGGGACTGAGTCTGTCCCTATTGAAAATCTTTTCTAATGTTCTATAAAACCCATGCGGTTTTCCAGTGGTCTTATTGAATCAAAGTATATATTAAACATCCTTCTTGAAGAAAGATTTGGAATTCCGGTTATGTGATATTTTATATATTAGTTTGATTTGGAGGCTCAATTGCGTTTGCTTTATGGAGCCGATGATTTGTTGTTCATTGTTTGTAACAAATTGCACTCAATTCTATGTCTAGTTGAGTTGGGCCGAATACTCGTGACTTACTCGAGGTTGGAAGGGGTACATTGTCGAAGGATCAGGGGGAGGAGGGGTGAGGTTTCGTTGTCTCATCAGAGCGTTGTCACCAGTATGAACGGTAGTGCAGTATGTAAAATTATTAAAATATAAATGTCTGATGCGGGGAGGGGCTGTCAAAATCGGGCCATTACTTGGTTTCTTGTGAGAACGGGAATCGAACTAACAATGTTCTTCCCGATGAAATTAAGGACTTCGTTGGCACAGATAATGATCTTGAATGTACGGGTACACCAGCAAAAAAAACTTACTCTTATGAATATTCTACTCAAAATTAAGTTTAATTCACGTAAATTTGAGAATATGCAATTTACTCAAAAGTAACTTATTCGGCTGAACTATATCGTTGGGTCGAATCTCTCGTTCATTTTTTGACAACAATAACGAGTGCAAGTGAGAAGCCCAGCTAAGTAAAAAGAACTCAAATTTTGGATAATATTTTTTCTCCGTGTGCATAGACCTTCTTGACGTGTAATAGTCTTTCTCTCTCTAGCACACATGGATGAATTAACGGTTTGATTTCCCGCTAATCTGTTTTCCTCTTGCTCGCACTTGTTCGATTTAAATTGTGTAATTAAACGTCAAAAAGCTCTATAGGAGAAGAAGAAGTGCATAAGGGCGTTTGCAATGCTTTTGTTTTTATATGGACGCAATGCTGAGTTGCAGTTTCATGATCGAGCACCAGATTCGGTTTTATATCTGAGTGGGTTTGAAACACGAATGGAACTCTGTTTCAAATTTCTTCGGGTGTATTTATTAATGTTTCTCGTAAATGTTCAGAAAACTTCATAGAAGTTGAGAAGATTCAATAGAAATTCGGGAATTTTACAGAATTTTTGGGAACTTCAAAGAAGTTTTAGGATATTTTAAAGAAGTTCGGAGAACTTCATTTAAATAACGAAGAGCTTCACAATAAGAAATTGGATAACTTCATAGAGAACAGTAAATTGTATGGAAATTGTATTTTAAAAAAGTTTCAGAGAGTATCATTGAAGTTTAGGTAATTTCAAAGAAGTGGGAGGTATTTCATAAAAGATCGGGGAACATCATAGTAGTTCTGAGAATTTCTTAGTATATTATAGAACTTCATGGAAATCCATGGATCCTCACAGAATTTCATCAACACGCTTGCGTCAAGAAGATATTCTCTCATATGATACCAGGCTGCTCAAAAATTATTCTAATGATCTTCAGGTGATCTAAAATCTCCATGAATTCCTTTAGATACTTTTCAAGACTTCTGGTGGATAAGGTATCATTCTGAAAATATCCAACTATCCAAAAATCTTAATTACATCTCTCAGATATCCTCTCATATGATACTAGGCAGCTCAGAAATTGTTCCATGT